TGTCCAGCAATATTTCCTGAAAAAAATTTACCAGCTCATCATCTCGCAAAAAGGGAGCACACATGCGTACAATATACATGTATCCAGTCAACAACATGTCAGTGTTCAGTGTCGTACTGGGGTTTTGTTTGACTTAAGTACATGTATTTCAGTATCATAATATTTTCCTCTCATTATTATATAAAAAATTAATCCTGCTTTGAGCGTTCGGAAGGGCCCAGAACAAAATTTTCGACTATCAAGAACCAGTCTGGGTGTCAAGATTTATGTTATGAACTGACAGGCTAAAATTTTTGCTCATACCCAAAGAAGAGCAATAACTTGAATGGCTCAAGTAGACCCGTGCACTGTGAGAGTTGTAGCAACTGTGAGAGGGCAAGATGCAGTGACACTGAAAATCTGCCAGTCTTGAACCGAAAGCTACAACATTCACTGTAGGTATAATTTACTATCACCCATCCAATGAAACGCGAACACTTTATTTCAATAACACAGACTTGCAAAGAATGAAGGGTCCCGATTCCGCACACGGCCTGCACCAACGCGCGCTTTGCAGAAAGCTCTAATCAAAATTCTGAAATTTGCTTCCAAGTTTTTGTCCTCTGGTGTTGACTTCGCCCCCCGAGTGTATCTTTTTAAAAAAAATCAATAATCCCCTTCCCTATTCCGTAGTCCTATACTTCGCAACGCAGTTACTCCCACCAAAGATGGTCTTTGCTCACACGATGCCGCTTTTATTTAAGATGCGAATGCACGCAGGTTCATTGAACGGTCGCGATGGCGAGCCAGACAATCTAAAAATCGGACGACGCTTGTATTTTCTTTTCTTTCTTTCCTACACGTGACAGCACAGAGACGAGTCCGAGTGTTGATTAACTTTTATTTGCACGGCAACACAGTGTTTACTGCACAACCTGCATGTCACAAATGTTGCGTTATCAGACTACCGCTGGCAAACTTCTCGGTGGTAACGAAAGCGAAAGTGGATCTTGATTTTCCCGATCGAGCATCTGTGTCACATACACTTCCGCCTGCCGCCTTAGCCGCCTGTTCGCGTGAAACGTACTCTCGGACAGGGAAAAGGTGAACGAATATATCACAATCGCGACCGGCAAAAATGAAGTTACTGACCTTATCGGACTTGGTTTTCAAATATTCCAGTTCCGCGATACTGATACAAAAGATGGGACTTGAGATAATTAGGTTTACTCGCCCAAGCGGAATCTCGTATTTTTCGCATTCCAGGATGCATACTTTTTCATGAAAAGTCGTATCCGCGTATTTTCCGCAAAAAAATCGTACTAAAATACGTAAAATCGTACTGGTTGGCATCTCTGCTAATTCAGAAAACCAGGAACCTGCTGGTCCATCCTCCACTTCTGGTCTCCCTCCGCTGCCTCCCCCTCAAAAAAAAAAGGAGCAAAAATAAGCCTCGTACGACATGTAATCAAGAAAATCAGGAACCTGCTGGTCAATCATCCACTTCTGGTCTCTGTCCACTGCCTCCCCCTAAAAAGAAACAGCGGCTGGGATCAAGTAATACTAATATAATATAATAGTGAGAACCCTGCGCCTGTTCCTGCGGTAAACGTCCTCATCCGATGCCTAAATATTCCGGACTTCGATCTCTTCAATGATTCGGATAATAAAATGCAGGTCCGTTTACAACTTTGTCTCGTCCCCCCTTCTCTCTCTCTAATCTCTCTCTCTCGTGGTATTCTCACAGCCCTCACTCACTCCGCCTCGTCGCCAGGAACTAGTTCGCGTAGCGGTCGATTAGGACCCATGACTGTACATGTAGATCTAAGTATAAGTCCGTTGTTTGCCTAGTGCGCATTAATACATATAAACACGGCGGGTCCACCAAAGTTCAATCAGAGAGTTTACAATAATACTACTGTAATCCCTATCTGGTTCAATCCAGCCCCTATGATCTTTGTCCTTGCGCAATGAGGGAAAAAAATGAGGAAATGGTCAGCCCGATTTCCATCCTTCTTTTGAAACACCCTGTGCGAATATAACTTCATAGTATTCGCACACTCTGTGCGAATAAAATTTCATAATATTCGCACACCCTGTGCGAATAACTATGTGTACAGCCATCTCAAAATTCAGGGGAGGCATTTCGGGATGAGTAAACCATGCACGTGAGAGAAACAAAATCGAAGTGACTATTTCTCCGAACGTTCGGAGAAATAGTGCCGATCTTTATTTCTCCGAACGGTTTCCGGCTTCCGGTCTCGTGATTTTTTGCCTATTTATTGCGAGAGTTCAGCGCCAACTTAATAACTTTCATTCTGCCTCTGGCTCTGGTCTGGGAAGGAACACCACATGGCAAGCCCGCCAACATACAACCTTCAGTAACACCCACCACCATCCTGCACATGTACACACACAAACTTATACACACACTAACTAAACATGATCAGTGGGCAACTTTTGAACGTACGACGAGCTGAGTTGTGGATGGAGAAACAGTGTGAGTGACAGAACGGGTGAAAGGAAGAATTTACGAGTGTATCCACAGGCGACAGCAACTACAAGACGACGACACTGACCCCCCTGGCCTGGTCCACAGCTCACGAACGAAAGGAATGTTGCTAAGGCAGTGTTTTACCTATATTATTGTCCATGGTTCGCAGGGAGCAAGGGAATGAGTGAGATTTTCTTTGTGTGTGCCTGGAGGGAGGGGGTGGGGTGTGAAAGTCATGAGAACGGAGATGAGCCGCGGGAGAGAACACGGGAATTGAATGAATGAGTGAAACTGAAAGAGAGGAACGACTCATGAGCACTAAAGTGAATGTATCCTGTTTTTTTATTTTTGTATACTTCGAACTGTTACTGAATAAAGGCTGAAATAAAGCCCGAAAAACACACACACACTCACTCCTCACTCTCCCCTTACATACTTACTACCACACACAGACACACTCACACACGCACATGCATAGAGACACACACACACACACACACACACACACACACACACACACACACACACACAGGAGCAAATTTTTGGGTCTATATCTATTTCAATTTTCAAGAGCTAGTCCAGAGATTTTTAGATGAGTGTAAAAACGTGAAAAAGAAAGATTTCACAACAGAATTAAATCAAAATTAGTCGAACAGCCCATATAAACACCACAAAAATGTGTGTGTGTCAACCTAGAAGAACCCATAAAAGTGCGTAAATTATTTTTTTTTAAAGTACAGGATATTACATGTAAATTATGGAATCACACACATTAAGGGGCCTGCCAGTGTCAGTACATTTAATCGGTTTTGGTGGAACGTACGCTCTAACATAAAACATTTAAAACTATATATATACATGTATATATATATTTAGAATCTAATGAAGGTAGGTACTAGGAACATCAAATTAAATGACGTTACACTATGCAACGTCCCCCCCACCTTTCCCCAACAAAAAAAAATTGATGGAAAAACAACACATCAGAACAATAACAAGAAAAAAAGTTACACACTAACAAAATAAAACACCACAAAGAGTCAAAGAGGGAAAAATAAAAGTAACTGTACGTATTCAACAAATCAACGTGGTGACAACAAGTGAGAAAGAGACTATGTGAAGCTAAGGGAACTTTCTTTCAAAAGTAAAGAGGTTTGGTTTCTTTCTTTTTTTTCTTTTAAATTTGACTTTTATTCCCCGACCAAAAAATGCCAAAAAATCGAGCCATGATTGATTGGTCGCAGCAGCGACAAACGCTGAAGCTAGTTCTATGTGTCGTTATCAATAACCCTCCGTAGATCTAGATGTAGACAGCACACGAATGAACACAACACATTAAGTTTAAGAGCAGCACCCTTCAAAGGCAACACGTCATATATCTGTAGGGCCACCTCTATTCTCACCCGGGATGAGAATAGTGCAGGCGAGTCTTTTGGCTATTCTCACCCGGTGCGCGTTCACCGTTATAGCCTAGATCTAGGCCAACAAATTTTGCGTTCACCCTAAACCACAGAATTCTACACTGTGATAACAGAAAAATTGTAGAATTCTGTGCTGTGAATCTGTGAACAAACGTTCCATTACAACTGTACTTGTAGCCTACTAAAAGCGTACAATTTTGTCTGTGGGCAGTGGAGAGAGAGTGAGAGAGAGAACAAAACAAAATGGCGACCCGTGTAGTTCGGCTCGATTCGAAAAGTTAAATAGCCGTAGCATCTTTGTAGACAACCAAATTAATTTACTTTTGTGTTTTAACATCATTTTTTAACTTTGAGTTGGTCAATTTGATCGTCCACACCGATAGACAGTATTCAGAAAGAGACAGAGAGAGAGAGAGAAGAGGGGAGGAGTAGATCTTGCGAGAACTTCCGGGCGGGTGAGAATAGCCACTTTCTATCTGTAGCGAAAAACTGTTTGGAACTGTAGTATTTTTTTATATAAATATTTACTGCGGACATTTTTTAGACCGATTGAACCATATTGTATACGAACAATCTTTCTTTGGTAGGTCTATACTCTATATAGATCTAATATCCGAAATTTGGGGGAAAGGATGTGATTTCAGAGTGTTCGGAGAAATAGTGCCCAGCTTTATTTTCCCGAACGTTCGGAGAAATAGTGCCTAGCTTTATTTTGCCTGGAAATTCTCGCGCTGCTCCTCTCTCTCTCTCTCTTTCTCTCTCTCTCTCCACTGCCCACAGACAAAATTGGGCGCTTTTTCGGTAGTTCCCACCCCCCTTATTTGATTGAGCCTGACCTAGATTCTACATCTAGATCTATATACGTGAGAATAGAGGTGGCCTAAAAAATGACGATTTTATTTAGAGCAAAAAAACATGGCCGGTCTAGATTCTAGATTAGATCTAGAAAAATCTAGATCTAGATCTAGATTTATCTAGATCTAGATCTATATTGGACCCCAAAAAAGGAAAATAGGGTTAAATAGATATCTAGATCTAGATCTAATCTAGACTCTAGATCTAACTATCCGCTTGTTGGAGGAGGTGGGACCAACTTTATTACTTACCGAGAGTGTGTTCCTCTTTGAACTTGAACTTCATGCCTCGGGTTTGATTTGTGGACACCTGTAGATCTAGATCTAGATCTAGGTATATATATATATATATATATAGATCTATGACAAAGTTGGTTAAAAAAAAGCGTCTGTAACTTGAAACTCGGATCAGGACCGCATGAATTAAAACAAACGGTTTGACAATTAGATCTAGATAAGTAAGAGTGGCCTAGAGTAAGGAGTAGATTCTTGCAAGTGTGATGTTGTTATTGTTATGTTGACCCGCTGTGCCAGGTTTTGTACACAGATCGGGTCAAAATGCCGGAGTGCCTTCAAATATGAAGTCATTCATCTAATGATCCTGTCAACTTCGGGTTAATCACTCCTGTGATAAAATTTTGATAATAAATTTGAGCTAACTAGTAATATAATAGCTAATATCTTCAGCAATTGTATTTATTCACAGAAATAGTTCAACGCCAATTAGCAATTCTTCTGAATAAGCGGCGTGTGACAATTGAAGACGAGGCTAGACTAGCTTCGATCAACAGGGGTGTGTTCAGAACACAGAATTCTACACTTCGTGTAGAATTCTGTGGTTCAGAATAAACTCAACCAGTCACGTCACGCCAGTCGAGGCAAAGATCGTGTAATTGATATTATTAATACTATGTCGACCAGGGATAATGAGCTAGACTAACTACGATACTATAACCATTGTTGCGATATACATATATATGAAAAGATTGGACAGCAAACTGCATGAGTTCGATCAGTGAACATCTGGCAGCTTAAAATCATAAATAATTTTCCTCGTTTTTGCTAGTCAGGCCTAATTTTCAGTTTTCTTTTATCTTCCTTCTCATTCATTCACCCAATCCTTTTTCCTGTTCAAAATTTTTCGTTCTTTTTTATTTTATTTGTGTGTTCATTTTTGTTCCTTTAATTTAACTCTGTACCCCCTCTTCTCCTCCCCAAAGTTGACATAGATCTATGTACACTTACACACCAGTGGCGGTGGGTAGTGAAGGGCTTACGGGCTTGAGCCCCTCACCCCACCCCCTCCACACCCCGACTCTATCCCTTTGTTAATTAAAGTTACTTAAATAACGAAATAGGCAGTTGAAACCGCCATGATCGCACGCAATGAACACACAGTTATCAGCTTGGCGGCTTGCCCGTTTATCCAATCACTGTTGTCACCGCTTACCACAATAGTAACCTAACAGCCAATCAAATGTCGTTAGGGCTCATAAAGAATAAGCCAGTTCCCACGCCCATCTTTAATTAAACTCTTCCTGTAAAAAGGTAGAAGACTTTTAAAAAATAACACTGTAC